AAAAGCCCTGGGTTTACACTTGAAGAATTTTAGAAATTACAACTACCGATACCTGTTTGAGGATTTTTTGAAAAGAAAACAAAAATCCCAGTACTGCTAAAAAATGCAAGCATACAATCAAAGCTGTCAGTCAGATGTTTGACTTTAGAAAGAGATCTATCCAGCCTCTTTTTCTTCCTATCTTTCTATTTTTCTTTCTTTCTCTCTCTCTTTCTCTCTCTCTTTCTTTCTTTCATCTTACAATTGTATACTCACACAGCCCCAGCTCTGACGTCCTATTGTGAGTGAGGGGAGTCTTGATATCTTGGCGTCAGGGCTTGTTACTGAAACCCTGGGCAACCTCCCCTGAGTCCAGCCATAACAGTTTAAGCAAACACCACAGCTACACCACTCCTCCATAGCAAATAGAGTTTCAAATTGTAGGCTCTAAAGTATGGAAAACAATAGATGTCACTGAGTAAATTCTGACAGGATACAGAGTCCTTAAATGTAGGTTGATCTATTAGATGAGATATGGGACATTTAAGTGTAGGCCAATCTATTTTTTTTTTTGTCTTTATCTTTTTTATTGGTACCAGGGATTGAACTCATGACTGCGAACTCACGACTGCCTGCTTACAAGGCAGGCGCTTATGCTGCTGAGCTAAACCCCCAGGCCCTACTTTATAACAGTGAGTTTGGAGATACGTGGTCCCAGCTCAGCGATCAAAAGTCTTTTCCATTCTTCCTCTCTGCAACCCTTATCTTATTAGTTTTCTTTCTTGGGTCACAGTCGTACATCCCCCATTATGGTTGCTGTAGCTCCCAGTATCACAACCTTACCAATAAAATCGTCCAACCCACAGAAAGAAAAGAGCAGCTTTTCACAGAGTTCTTTCTTTCAGGAGATGGAGGAAAATCTTCCCCAGAGGCCCCCCAGCAGGCTTAACCTCCTGCTGGCTAGCATAGGGTCACATGTCCACTCTGAGATCAGTGAGGGGATCAAGTTTGTCCTCATCTGTGCCCAGAATGAGATGACTCCTGGGGCTGGGTGACCTGCTAGAGGGACTGTTTAATCTGGTGGTCTCACTCTAACTTTCTTGTCTGCAGACAATAACATCAATCCTTTCCAACAATACTACTGTATCCCAGTTTTTCTTTTAAAACATTTTCTCTCTCCTGGCTCCAGAGTTCCACCGCAGGTGAATGCTTGTGTCCCCCCACTTCCTCCAGCATGCATCTGCTTCTATCTCTCCATCTCTCCCTGGAGTGTGATCTCAGCATCCCTCTGCCAGCCCAGGCCTCCACCAGCTTAAGCTTTGCTCTGTCTCCCTAGAGATGCTTCCTTAGAACTGGCTGTCAAGGGAAGTCAGCAGGCTTCCCACAGCTGGGAAGAAGTTTCAGATACCACAATCATCTGTCTCTTTTTGGGGATGAATTTTTCTTAACACAGAGGCATCATGTTGTCAGACAGAAGAAGGTCAAGAGGAGGGCACTTGCTCACTGTGTCCTTCGCTTTGTTCCCTCGCCCCAGAGTTATTTCCCTCTCCCACTCCTCCTCTCCTGGAATCTGTGGCCTGGCTTTTCTCCCAGGCATCTTTCTACTTCTACTGATGCTCCATCTCCTCCATTTGGATAATTTTCTCATCTTCCATCTATTTGCTGCCTGTCTTTTACCTTCAGGAGCCTGGACCCTAACTTGGTGCTCCTCCTGGGACTGAGCTGAAACAGACCCATCTCTCCTGGCCTTTGTCGCAGTTCACCTTCCTGGAGGGCACAGGCATAGCCCTCCAAAGGCTCTGGCCATGGTGGCACATTCCAGTCAGGGAAAGGCATCCATTTACCTCCTTCCTGCTCTGCTACCGACTCTGCCCGCCTGTGAGTTTATGGGGCCTCAGCGCTCTCTGCCCCAGTGCAGATGGCCTGAGACCACTTTATCCCTTTCTCAGGGCCTTCTCCAGTAGCTTTCCAGGGTTTAAACACTGCCCTGGAAGCTGAGACAGAGATGAATCCCATCTCTCCTTTCTCCTGTCTTTCTGGCTTGAGCAGCCTTAGGTTTCAGTGAAAGCTATTTTCTTTTGGGATGGTTTCTCTTATAAAGTTTTAAAGCATGCTTAATCATCAAGTGTATAGTTGGCCACATTTGCATATAATTAAATTTTCCTGTATTAATGGAGTGTATATTGCCCATAAATTTCATTCTCCAGAATCTTTACTCTCTACAATCACAGATGATCAGCAGCTTGGCTGACCAAGGAAAGCAGAGCCTTGCACTCCTGCTTGTAGGGGCCAAGACTCGCTGACCCACAGCTACAGCCTGATTTTTAGCTTGGATTAAGGGCATTTTACACACACAATTCTGTCTTTATCTTCATATCCTTCAGAAAGGCAGGACCCTGCATTCGCATCTCAGCCAACAACCCAGGTTGACTGACTGCTTTTTTACCCACATGCCTGCTTTGCTTTGAGCCAAGCAAACACCATTTCATTTTCATCTCACTCCGCCCTCACCCTAATATCCTGGCTCCTTCTGCTGCAGTGTGAACTCCAGTGCTGCTGTGAGATAATAAACCTAACTCCCCTGAGCTTCAGCTGCACAAGAGGGGCCCTATCACTACATCAGATGAGAACATTTTTCCAGGTGTTCTCGGATTCTCAGCAGGAGAATCCATCCCACAAAAGGTAACAATGAGTGCTTAGAAAGCAAAATAACAAGCAAACAAAATGAAAACCAAAATTCCCCCCCAAAAAACAGAAATCTTACAGTGCTTTGGGTCCTTCCAAAGGACCACACACATAAATAAATATACATGTTTGTTTCATGAGCCAGGTAAGAAAGAGGCTTGAAGAAAAATATCAAGCATCCAAAAAGTCTCCATAAAAGGACAAAAATGTACAATGTTTGAGAAATATTAATTTCTATCAACATTAGTAATTCATTGTGTGCCATGAGTCGGCTGCCCAATCATTGTTTCTCTTTTGCAACAGCCCTGAATGTCCTTCTGATCTCTGGCTTAGGAGATCCAATCTGGTTTGACCCTTCCATCCCCAGGACTTCCATCTTTGCTCTAACCCTCCACGAATGGGAGACTTCCGCGGGAGACGGGTGAGGCTCCATCATCCACACAAGTTCTTCCGCCAACACCCCTCTGCCATTCTCCTCTTCCTGCTCACAGGCCACCCGATAGCAGCCCTAAGATCCATCCTGTATTCCAAGAGCCCCTTTCCCTTGGCTTTAGGGGAGGACATAGAAAATGATTAAGACACAGCCCTCACCACTACCCAGGTGCTGTTCCAAGCTCTGATGACTGCTGATGACTTGTGCCCTCACCCAGGCTCCCGCCTCTCTTCTTTTGCTTCATCATAACTGTGAGGGGGCAGTGCCAGGGATGATTGAGGACAGCAGAATCAATTAAGGAGCTGTCTTTAATTCCTTACGATAAGTTCTGGAGGTAGAGTAACACTCCTGTGCCTCACGGCTTTCTTTACAATGTGGGGTGTCAGCTCCCTCTTCTCCGCTTTCAGTTAGCTTTGGGATCCATTCTGGGAGGTCAGGATTTCACGCACCCGTCTCCTTTCAGAACCATGTAAACCCATGTGCTCATCAAGTTCGGAGCAGACGAGCAGTGAGAGAAATAGTTCATGCCTCCATCTCTACACACAGATAGTGTCTCTTTCCACCTGAAACTTGGTCCCCTACCCACAACCAGTCCTCCATCTACACTTACTAAGTGCTCAATAAACACTTTTGACAGTAAAGCTGTCCAACAGCAAAGAGCAACACGCACTACTCTGGTTGCCTTGCTGGGAAGAAGTGACCCTGACCAGCTGTCTCCTCAGTGGAAAATGAAAACTTAATGACATTTCCGTGAAAATAATCCATAAGAACATCCATCTGTTTTTGTAGTAATCTGAAGTCAACCATGCTAATGACCTTAATTGATCTGTTTTTTTTAGGAGAGTTTCTTTCCTGGGAAGAGGATGTACCAACACAGGTAGTCAATCTGCTTTGCCTCTGGTTGTTTCTCTTCCTGGCCTGTTTACATTTTGACTAAACCTGGTCACTGCTAAGGATGTGTAGCTGAAGTGGGGCCCAGGAGCAGTTTAGGGGCTTCTACATTTTGGAGTTAATATAAGTCTAACTTGTAGTGCTTCTTCAAGTACTCACTGGTTCTGGGATCTGATGTAGGAGATTTTCATCTCTGGGTTAGTCCTCTCCCAGGTATGCCCAATCTCTGGCCTGAGTTGGACATGCATATATAATGTTATAATAATATATATATGAAAAGTTTTTAGTTATGCACATAAGAAGAGTGTATACTCTCACTGTCCCTTTCTTCTGCTCTATGTGTGTGCATGCACACGTGTGTCCATGCATTGTTTGTGTATGTGTGTGCATTATGCATGTGCATGTGTGTGTACATCAGTGCATGTGGGTATGCATAAATATGTGATTGTGTGCATGTGTACATGTACATGACTATGTGTGTGAGCATGCATACACTTGTGTACATGTGTGTGTGCATGCATGTGCATGAGCATGCGAGCATGTGTGTGTGTGGGTGCATGCTATGTGTATGTGTGTTACTGGGGATTGAACATGGGGACTTTGCATGAAGATACATCTCCAGCTTTTGGGTTTTTTTTTCTTTTAACTTGAGACAGGGTCTTGCTTAAACTTTTAGTCCTCTTGACTCAGGGATCGCACGTGTGTGTGCCACCATGCTTCACCTATACTTTATTACACTCTCCAAGACAATTTTCTCATTCAGTGCAGCCCAGGCAACCAGGTACAGGCAATGACAGTATGCACCTTGTAGCTGCAAAGGCTGAAAGAAGGTAACATGTCTGCCTACTGCTCCTTAAAGTAGGTTTGCTATTGTTTGCATTCCTCTACCCAGAGCCCTGGCCAGCATCTAGGTATCTTGCTGTTTAGCCCTTCTTCTTCTTCAGAGCCTGTGTTTATGCTTCATCCACCACATCCACCATAAGGAAAAACAGAAAACAACAAAATACCTTTTTCTTTTATGTGCCACCAACTTTATTTCAGTCATTTTGCTTCTGTAATAGCTCATAAGCTTCTTTAAAGATCTGAATTGGGTGAGCAATAGAAATTTTCTGGATAAGCCTATACAAGGGCAGATAGATTTTCCTCATCCCTGAGCCTTCTCTCCTCCCTCCTGCCCTTTCCTGTCCTAAGCCATGGGCAGCTGTCTTTGTCCTGGGCACTGGCTCATATTCCTCTAGGGCAGCCTCTCAAGGGTGGGAGCAAGGGAAAGGAGGTGAGATCTTGAGAGTTCAGCACACCCCTAGAAAGTCCAGAGGCTGCTCTGTCCCAGAGCCAACCGGGATCCAACCTACTGCTGCAAGGTCCTGCCTGGCTTGACTTAGACTCTAAGCTGGGGACACACACTTACTCAGCCTTTCTGCTCCAGAGGAGCTCAATTTCAGCACATACCATAAGGCTACCTATTATTCTGAAGCCTTCCTTGAGGCCACCCTGATTTCTAGGTCAGACAGTCCTGCGCCAACCACTCTCCTCCATCCTTGACCTTCAGTTCCGTGCTAACCTCCTGACTGCTGGGGCTCCAGCTTCCAGTCAGCCTCCCGAGAAGCTCGTGGAAGTCCACTTGGAACCTAGATGATGAGAAGTAGTAGACGAGGGGGTCAACACAGGAGTTCAGAGTGCTGAGGAGCAGTACGTAACTCCTCCATGTCGGGCTCTTGCCCTGAATGTAGCCCACCACATGTGACACATTGTAAGGTCCAAAGCAGACAAGGAAGTTGAGCAGAGTGGCCACCACCAGGCCAACAACCCTTCTGCGCCGGCGCCTGCTAGAGCTCCGGCCAAGAATCCACACCAGGCGGCTGTAGCAGTAGCTGGTGATGAGCAGAGGCACCACAAAAAGGACCACACCCATCTCCAAACGGACGGGCAGGAGAATGGCCAGCTGGTCCTGCCTGAATTCCAGGTAACAGGTCCCATTAGAGCCCTGGCTCTCATTGGAGATTGCCCAGAATTCAGTGACATAGACCACACTGCAGTGAGAGCTTGCCAGGAACCAGCAGATGCCACTGACCAGCCCAGCTTGAGCCAGTCTCGGCCGGGTCTTGTACCACAGAGGGTAGGCCACGCTCAGGAGACGCTCAACACTCACAGCTGCCAGGAAGAGGGAGGTGAGGTAGATGGTAGTGAAGAAGAGAAAGCCGGAGATGGGGCAGAGGATGAAGGGCAGGGGCCAGGTCATCCCACTGGCCGCTTCCACCATGCGGAAGGGCAGGAAGAGCAGCAGCAGCAGGTCCGAGAGGGTCAGGTTGAGCAGCAACACATCCACAGCCACTGGGCGGCGCCGGAGTTTACTCACGAAGATCACCAGGGCCATCAGGTTGAGGGGCAGCCCCACCAGGAAAGCCAATAGGTACACGGAGAAGTAGAGCCAGTGGTTGCCCGGGAAGAATGACCGATCCGAGTTTGTCTCCACCATCTTGGCCACTGGTGCAAGACAGAGATGGAGGTGGCAGTCTGGCTGGGGGATCTGCCTGTCCCTCTCTACAGCATCTCACCCATCAGCCAGTAATCTTGTCACCAAGACCACACTGCATGTCCCCTATGTTTCCCCAGCAGGGTCAGTTTGCCTGCCTTCCTGGTCCTACTGTGTCTCCTGTCATTCCCCAAACACAGAAAGCACCAAAGCACTCGTCCACCCAGCCCCTCAGCCTCATGCTCACCTGCTTATTGGAGAACCCAAGCGCTTTGCCATGCAGCAACTTGCCGGCTCTGCAGACCAAGTGGGTGAGCTATTTATTTGCAGAAATGATAAAGACCTGGCAGTGCCCATGACGTCACTCACTGTAGAACAGCAGCACAAAAGATGCCTTGAGCTCTGTTACCAGGGCTGCGTCAGTATGCAAAAAGAAGAGCAAATTCCACAACCTTGAGCCTCACTCCTCCTCTCCCCTGGCCACTCAGCTGGGATGCCCCAAACAGGCCCAAGCCAAATGCTGTGACTTCTCCTCCCCTCTCCTCCACGTGAATTCTGTCTGCTTCTCTAGAATGGCACTTTTCCAGTTTGCCTCTTAAGGCCAGGAGGCATGATGTGATGACACCGGGCTGGGCTCTAGAGCTGATTCTCTTTCCTGCTACCTTAGTGATTCAGGGTAAGTGACTTCAGTTCTGTGTCCCCTTTTCCCGTCTATAACAGGGAGATAATTGTGGTGATACTCTCATAGACTAAGATATTAATGCATGTCAAATGCTTAGAACAGGTCCGTAGATCCTGGCACTGTCCCTGCTGTAGTCCCTGGTGCAGTGCTGGGTTGTCCCTGGGGTGAAGATGATGGTGGTGATGGCTGTGGTGACAACACTAGCAGCTACTCCAGTGACATTATGACCCTATTCTTAGGGCACACCAGTTTTGTGTCTCAAAGAACTTTTATGTCACAAAGGGGCAGTGACTTGCTCCAACTGAAATACTTTGTTTAATATCACCAACAAGGGTCAAGCCCAAATTCTAGGTGGCTTCAATTGGAATGTCTTTGTTCACTCAAATACTTGCCAGTTACACTGCAATAGCATTTGCCACACATTAGAATGATTATCAGCAAAATTCAGACAGTACTGAGACAGTGAGAGGCTCCTGAGGCTCCTCTTCTGCCCCATGCTGGCCAGAGTGGATGTGGTCTCCTGGAATGTTGTCCCGCCCCTTTCTCCTTGCTACCTTTGCTTCCCCCTAAGGATGCACTTCCACAACTTACCTTGGTGTCCTCCTAGATCACTTTGCCACCACTCACCTGGCTGATGCAACAGGAGATGCAGCTTGGCTGTGGCTGAGGTGCCCTCCCCGGCCAAGCACAGCTCCATATGCTGCTGCCTTCTCTTAAGAAGCAATGGGAAACCACTCCGAGGTAGAAAACATCAGGAAGGGATCCACATCTATTATTAACATCTTCAACTTCCCCAAACCCCAGTAAGCTGTGGCTAGCCCAGCTAGCTCTCCTGAAGATTCCCTAGATTTGGCCTTGTTATTTTTTGCTATAGGTGTGACAGCTGTCAGTCAATCAACCTTATCTCCTGATATCCCATGTACAGCCTCCATGAGAAGCTACGACCATCCTGGATGCGCCATACCTTCTGCTCTGGGAGATGTCTGCCTTGATTCTTCTAGGCTTGAATTTGAATCAAGTAGTAGAATTGAATTTGGGGCAATCAGTCAGTTCCAGCCAGACAACTTGAGTGTAGACCAATTTGCAGGCTCAGATTTAGAGCAATCCAATGGTAGACTTTAGACCAATCTGCTAGCTTGGGCTGCATATATAATATATTCAGTCATAGAATAGCATATATAAAATATAAAGACAACATCCCTTACACTTCTAAATTGGTGTAGGAAGACCACTTCCTGTGAATTCATTCCTCTGTGCTGTAAGATAGGTCCTGTTCAAACAGCCTCACTTCAGTGAATGCACTTGTAACTTATCCCTCAGATGGTGTAGTCTTGGGGTTCTTATCTTGAGTAGTGATCACAGAGAGATTGTTGAAAAAGAAAATTATAAACACTAAGGACGTTAGTTCTGAAGAGACCAGCTGACAGGCAGCATTAGAGGCAACAGGCAGTGCCGACAGATGGCATCCAGTATTGGTGTTTATGATTAACTGGAGTCTACCAGCACCGAGGCTCTGAGCCATGACACTAAGGCCTAAGGACCATTGGTGCTCAAAACCTGGAGCTGCTAACAGAGCTGCACTTCGCTGATTCATGAATTGAACAAAAGAACCCTCCAGTGCTCGGTAACAATACCAAGTGTTGGCAAGGACGGGGGAAACCTAAGCTCCCATTCATTGCTGTGAGAATACACAACAGTACAAACACTTTGGAAATAATTTGGCAATCTCTTAAAAGTTAAACATCAATTTACCATGAGACCCAACAACTTCATTACAGATATTCACTTATAAGAAATGAAAACATATGTGCATGCAAAGACTTTCTCATTAATGTGCATAACAGTATTCGTCATAGTAGCTGAAAAGAACCATTTGCCAATGAATGTGCACATCGTACAATGATATCCTATTGGACAATGAATACAACACACTACCGATGCATACTACAGCATGGATGAACATTATGCTAAGTGAAACAAGCCGGACATAGACCATATCTTATATGATTCATTTAGACAAGATGTTCAGAACAGGCAAATATAGAGATAGAAGTAGGTTAGTTGTTAGCCTAGGGACTGGGGGTAGAAATGGAGATGAACTGTAAATGAATATGAGGTATCTTAGTGGGGTAGTGAAAGTTCCAAGAGCTAGATGATGGCCATGGGCGCGCCTAACAGTAAGTTTACTACATTCCATTGACTCATAGACATTGGCGCGGGTGAATTTTATGTTACATACATTATACCTCAATTCAGTATAGCTGGGAAGAAAACAACGCAGACCCGTTTCCCTGTCTTTATGGTTATACTGGAGAGAGAGTGGAGTGACAGGGAGTAAAATAAAGCCATCAAAGCAAAAGAAGAAAGAGAATCAGAAGACAATGCAGGGAGGGGGACCAAAGGTCTGCAGCTTGGCCTCCTAAGGCAGGAGGGGGGTGGGGAAGAGGTCATGAGGAACCACACAGGCCCTCCCAGACCCCAAGAAAAATGTAGATTCTCCCCTGAGTGGGTGAGGGAGCAGAGGTAACTGGGAGCCATGAGCCAGCATCCAGCAAAGGGCCCAGAGCCACAGGGATGGAGGGTGATTCCTAGCCTGATCCGGATAAGCAGTGAGTCCACCCTGGCTGGAGTTGAGGCTTTAACTAAAACTCTTTAGTTATCCGCACTACCCAGGGGCCAAGCTTATTTCTAACTTTCACAGAAAATTTTTTAGCCTCTCTGGCCTGTTCCTTATTTATAAAACATGGGCAATAGATTTTGGGTGGGTTGGGAGCATTTCTTCCTTCAACCAATGTTTACGAACACCTCCGATAAGCCACTGTCTCTTCTTGATGCTGGGCATCCACCGCTGCATCAAAAAAAATCCTTTCACTTATACATATTCAAGCACCCAAAGAAGTCATCACTTAAACCAGGTGGTTCATGCCAGCTACACAGGTACAGTTGTGCTCCTGGATGTGGTGGCTCTGTAGACATTAGAGGAAAAGGTCTGGTTCCCAGTAGGGCCACGTTTGAGCAGATGCCCACCTGCTTTTCTCCTTGATAACTTTCTTCCCTGCCCTCCCTCTCGTGGGCTGGGCTGCCACTTTTCATCTTCCCCAAATGTACCACCAATCTAGGTGTTAACCAGCACCCCAAGTCTTCGAATGTCCTTCATGGTGGAGACCCTGCTCTGAAGAATGCTATCCGACTTCTAGCCCTTTCTTGCTGTGCAGCCTAGGGGATGTTTCTAAGTCAAATGACATGAGGGTAATATACCTGGCCGTGGGGGACAAGCTACCTTAGTGCTAGAAGGTAGAAGGGCTTTGGGGCAGGTGGAAAAGCACCCCTTTTCAGGGTGCTGCCTGCTATTGAAGGGATGGGTGAAGCCTTTGTTCAAATTAGAACACGGAGCTCCTCTCTTGAACAGAAGCAAGGCAGGCCGGTGGCTGGGTGCGCAAATGCAGTGTGCAATTTAGTGAGCATTTCCCTGTCTGCCTGGTGTCTGCCCATCTGAACATCATCAGCCTGCTAAACGGAATAGTCCTGTGAGCCAAAGCACTGTTGTGTATGTTCAGGTACTAAAGAGGCTCAGGCAGGAGGATTGCTTGACTCTAGGAGTTAGAAAATATCCTGGGTAACATGGTGAGACATTGTCTCTTAAAAAGCAAGTGAAATGATGGGAAAGAATTGTGTTAAGACGAAACGAGATAACAGTCATTGTAAAGCATTCAGCATGGTACCTGTCACTTGTTAGGGACAGTTTGCAACTGTCCCCAACAGCAGTTTGTAGCCCTCCCCAGGCCAGGTTCCAGTTTGCAATTCAAATGCTGCCCCCTTGTGAGTTCACATGGTATGGCCGTATTATCATTTTGTCTCCTGCCTCCGGAAATTAAAATGCACTTTACAGTAAGTATATCATCAGGATGGCCACTTTCAGATTAGAGGCAAACTTCTCTCCTCCATTCTGTGAGCAGGAGGCCGGTCTGTAGTCAGTCAACAGACAGGCAGTCAGGACTTGGGGTGCGAAACAGGCTGGAGACATAGCTGGCTTGAGCCCAGGTCCGGGCGGGCCTTCACTCTCTGTGGACCAAGATGCTGTCTCTCCAGGCTCCGCTCTTTCCATGAGTGGCTCCAGGCAATGCTGCCATGCTGTTCTGGAAGAGGCCTGGAGAAGCCACTGGACTCTGCTCCGTGTCCCTTTCACCCCGCAGGGGCTGCTACTTCTGGGATGGTCCTCCTGGCTTTCGTGCCGCACATGTCATCCCCCGGCTAGGACCTCTCCCTAAGTAGCCTGTCACCAGTGGATTGAATACTACACTCCAGGCCCCTGTGATGAGCCCCAACTTGCGCCAGGGACCTCCCATGTTGGGGTGCAGGAAGCCAGCCACATTGGAGGCACTGTAGGGGCCCAGGCACAAAAGCAGCGTAAGCAGGGCCCCACCAGCTACCCAGGCTGCCCGTACCTTCCGCCTGTGGCTCAGGCCTGAGTGGACCAGTGCCCGGAGGCAGCCCACGTAGCAGAAGGCCGTGATGATCAAGGGCACAAAGAATAGCAGCAGAGAGAAGCTGAGGCGGGCGGGGCCAGCAGAACCAGGGTCCCAGGCCTCCAGGCACACAGGGGAGCCATTAACAGCTTGGTTGATGCCCAGGGAAGTGGTGCTATTGTGCAGCCAACCTCCTGGAGCCTCTAATATGAGAACCAACCCCAGGTGACAGAGCACCAGGACCCAGATGGCCACACACACCCCCCAGGAATAGCGCAGCCTCCGGAGGGCTTGATAGCCCAGGGGAAAGGCAGCCCCCATGTAGCGCCCAGCGCTCAAGGCAGCCAGGAAGACACCGCCCGCATATATCGGGGTGAAGTGGGCCAGGGCAAAGATTGGGCAGAGTGCAGCTGGGAAGGGCCAGACCCCCCAGGCCAGGGCCTCCACTGCCTTCAGGGGCAGTGAGATGGCCAGCAGGAGGTCAGAGCAGCCCAAGTGGAGGGTGTAGACCAAATTGGGGGTGAGGCGGAGTCGGGCTTGCGCCACCACACCTCGGAGGACCAGCACATTGAGCGGGAAGCCCAGCGCAAAGGCGGCCACATAGAAGGCGAAGAAGAGCTGCGGGGGCAAATCCATAGGGCTGGAGACAGTGGCTATCAGTGCTGCTGTGCTCCCTGTCCTCAGATCGCCAGCCAGGGCAGGAGGAGCTCCTGGAATTCCCACTGTGGCTTCACCACAGCCTGGAGAAGCAGAGTCCAGGGTAGGTGCTGGATCAGAAATGAGGGTGTCAAGCCTTTGGTCCACACTGCCTGTACACCATGGGACCTCTCATGAGGAAAGAGTGCAGGTGTGCTGTCCCAGGAGAGGGCCCGCCTCTGGATTCCTGAGACCCTGGGGAGAGAGCAGAGGGAGAGTTCAGCACAGGGTTGGAGAGCATACGTGGGCATGGGAATTAGAGCCCTGATCCACTCCCTGCCCCTTCCCCTGGCAAGAGGAACTGCTCCCCACAGTGTAGGGCATAAGTGGGGACCCCTCTCTTGGAAGAAGAGAAGTCAGTGTTTGGATAAAAAGAACACCAGGCCGAGGGGTAGACAAATGGAGTCCCAGAGGAGAGCCCAGCCACGAGCCAGGTCGCATCAGTGTCCTGGGTCACAACCTGAAATCTCAGGGGTTAACCTGGGTGGGAAGACCTGGGAGTCTGTGGAATAGTTGTTGGTGAAGAGTGAAGAGAGGAACGACAGAAAGCGCCACTTACCTCTTGATGCTGCCAGATGATTCTGAGGCTCCGGATTCCCCTCTCCAGGCTCCCAGAGGATGCCCAGAATGGGCAGTGAGCTGGAAGGGAGTGAAGGGCGGGGTGGCAGGGCCATTAGCTGAGGCACTAGCAGCTTGTGTGAGCAGCTAATGGGGCATCCCAGGCTAGGACTGAGGCTGAGCTGCAGGATGTGGGACTTCCAAGAAGATGCTGGGACACAGAAGGGGGTGTGCGTAGGAACGGGGTTCTGTCAGGTCAGATGAGGTCTATTTAGTCAGTGCCTTGAAGGGGCAGGGTTTATGGGGCACAGTCAGAGCTCAGCCCTGTGCCCTACCCACTTACCCACTGCCTGCTCAGTCCTGCCCCAGGGACCAAGTCTTCCCTGCTGCTGGATGAAGGCACAGGCAGACCCCAGTCCTTTTTCGCACCCTGAGTGACAACCTTCTCTCGTGACTCCAGCCCTCCCATCCATCATCATGGAGTAATGCAAAAGTGAGTGAGTGATGGAATCGTGCCCATGGACAGCTTGCACAGGCTGCAGGCACGCTTTCACCGAGACAGGGCTCTTCTCGTCCCCGTTTCCTTACCCTGCTGGTTCTGTGACAGTGTTTTGTGACCTGTGCAGTGTTGGCCGAAGACAGGGGAAGGGACCAGTCAGAACCTTCTGGTTGGCTCTGGAGCAGCCAGTCTGTGGTCTCTGCTGTGGTCTCTCTGAGGGGCAGCACTGTCTGAGCTAACTGCTCCCTGGGTATGGGGTGAGGACACTGGGATGGGCTCCGTGGAGACGGGAGGGAGGGGGTCTCTGGTAGGTTGCTTTGTTCCTCTCAGTGCTGGGAATCCAGCTGGGCACTCAGCCCTCCTTGGTGTGTGTGATGGTGGGGGGGTCCTTTTGTCTTTCTAGGAAAACTTCCTAAGCAAAATTTAAAATGGTCCTGAACTCCCGCCCCCTACCTCTCTCCATCTTCCTCCCTTCTCTCAGATGTACATGAAAGCTCTCTGACTCTGTCTCCGACTGTGCCCATGTGTCTCTGTGTATCTCTTTGCCCCCCAAAGTGACTTCATAGCTCTTTGCTTTTAGAATTCTTAGGGGCTTGTGTTGGTCTCCAGAGTGCTCTGCCTCTTCCAGATTTCAAGGCAGTGTAATCAGCTGCTCTCACCAGGCTGCGGGCTGTGGTTCTCCTATATCAACATCTCCCTCCAAAGAAAGTATCCAACTTCCTCCTCTGATGATGGAGTCCAGATTGGTGTTTGTTTGTTTGTTTGGGAATTTTTTTCAGGGGGAGGTAGTTCCAACTCCATGGTAGACACCTCACCCTGAACATAGAATGGCTTAATACCTGCTGAGTATTTTGTGTTTGGGAACACTGAAAAACTAACAGAACCGACAAAAACATCAGAGTACCATGTCACCTCCCATGACAAGTGCTGGAAAAAGGGCAGAGCTCTTGGGAAGCAATGGGTCTTCCAGGTCTCTGCTTTGGTTCTACTCAGCCAGCTGTTCAGTCCCTTTCAAGTGTCACCAGCTCACAAGGGTTTCATGGTTCCTCTAGCTAATCTCTCGCCTGCCTGCCCTCTATTCATCCTTGTGTTTAGTGAAGATTTTGGTCTGATTTGCCCACTCATGGTGCACAGTAGATGCTGTGGGACCTGGAGGATTGTGAGACCTCCAGGGCTGAGGGGCTGGGTGGAGGCTGCTGTGTTCTGCAGTCCCGGGCCTCCCAGCTTCCTGGCCACCTGCTCTTCACGCCTCAGCAGTGTCTGTTGACAGCCACATCTCATGGTCAATGGCTCATAAAGTCAGTTTATGTCAGCGGCTGGGCTCAGGAACAGGATGGCAAGGCACCTGATGGTTGCCAGGAGCACGAGCCAGGGCTTATCAAGATCAAGGCTTCCTTCACCTCTTTCCAGGGCCTCCTGTCCTACAAACATTTGGACTACACTAGACACCTCCAAGAATGGCACTGGGTCCTAGCCCTTTTGGCCCCTAACGATAGACTCCGAACTGGATTAATTAGTGTTCAGTAAATGTCTGTCCTTACAAAATGAATGGATCACTGAATAGCACAGGGCTTCATTTTTAGGTCCAGAAACCCAAAACTTCCTTCTCTTTTTCAAACACTTTTCAAAGTCCCACCTTCCTTCAGTGATCCTAATGGTTCACAGGAACTCAAACTAGAAACAAAGTGGATTGATGGTACATGCAGTGGATCCTTCTGCAATGATTCTAAGAACTGCCATTCTAGGATTGAGCAGAGATGGGAAGGGAGAGCAGGAAAGGAAGGTGACACTTCAGGGGAACCTATATGTGGTGCACGTACCGTCCATTTAGCACCTTGATGCTTCGTAAAGCATACATCTCTACCTCTGAGAAAAAGGGGTCATGGCTCGTTGGCTGGGCAGGTGAATGAATGGATGAAGCGAGTTTAACCTGAGAGGGGAGGGGACTAGAACACCTGCCTGGAAATTCTGAGCCAGTGAAACCAACAGAGAACTGGGAAGAGAGTGAGGGTGAAAGACAGGTCAACTGTGAGGTTCCTCTGGGCCTGTGGCCTTTGAATATTTTGCAGCTGTGAATGTGAAAGAACTTGGTAGATCCCCTTTTGAGAATAAGTATGAATACTAACTTGTTTTTTTTTTATATATGCTTCAAGAAATATAAGCAAAACATGGAATTTTATTTTTTAGGGACTTCTGGTTTCTGTACTTGAACTTGTGAACTGTGACTTTAACATGTAGAAGATCAGACCAAAGTTCTTGTACTGTCTCAAAATTAAAAGTGAGCTGAGGTTGTAGCTCAGTATGAAGAATCTGGGTTCAATTCCCCTTAGCCTAACAATTAAAAAAGAACGTTCTTGGAGAAAAATCAGTGTCTCCTGAGAATCAGCCATGCTGGGATTTGCACAACCAACCAAGAAAGCAATGAGCCAGTCTTCTTGGTAAAGGGCATGAGCTGTACACATACCCGGGAGAGAAAAATCATTGAGCCTACTGGTGTGCAGGCTGAAAATCAAATGTTCCCCTACCCCTTTAGCAGCCGATGATTCTGAAGTCATCCTGAGTTGATAGCATCTAAGACACATAAAGCAACTAAATGCTTGTATTGTTTGTTTGATTATGCTGACCTAGGGTCAGCGGTCTGAGTATCTCTTGGTTGCTCATGGATGAAATGTGCAATATAGCAATATGGGGATTTCCTTCTGTCTTGTCTTTGAAGTCCAATATTGTTTTCACTGTTTTGATTTGTTCTGATTAATTAATTTCTGAAATTCCATATTCTGTTTTGGTTGGTTTTATAGTTTTTGGTTTGATTTTGTGATATCTGATTGAGTGGAAGACTATTGTGAAAGTAACAAGGTATACTATGGTAGCTATTATCGTTTTTTTTTTATTTAAGGAGAAAAAGAAAAAAACAGAGAAAGGGTACAAGTTATACATAATTTCAGAAAAAATAAACAATAGGAAATCACTAGTTAATAGATTGCATATTGCTATCTTAGAAATATGCTTTAATTTTGTAACTTGAACAACTGTTTCTAAGATAACAATATGTAATCTATTAACTAGTGATTTCCTACTGTTTATTTTTTCTGAAATTCTGTATAACTTGTACCCTTTTACTGTTTTTTTCTTTTTCTCCTTAAATAAAAAAAGTTGTTCAAGTTACAAAATTAAAGCATAAAAAGTGGACATTCAAACAATGAGACTGCAAACAGTTCTGTTCAGTGATCCAACAAAACTCAGTAATATGGTTATCTTAAACACTTAAATATACATGCAGTTATATCCTTTAGAGCACTTTCTTTTCCTCTCTTTTGTACAATGACAATTACACATTTTGGGTTTTATTTCTCCCACAGTTCTTATTACTTATTTTGAAGAGAATAAAATCAAATGTGCCATAACAAAACAAAGTCAGTCAAATCAAAAGGGTGGACATGATATATAATGTAAAAACAAAATACAAGGTGATCAACAATGGTTATGATAATGCCTCTTGTTATCTTAAAAAGAATTGCCTATATCATCAGTTATAATAAAATTGAACAAAACGGTAAAGAATAAAACCAATAAAATCAAAACACTGGAGACATTACAGGACTTCAAAAGAATATAAGAGTCAAACCAGAATGGGTGTTATAATGAATCTTATTGGCTTCACAGTTGTTGCCTATACTCTTGAACTTGGTATTATCAAGCAAAACAGAATACAGGAAAATCAGTCCAAGCAAGATGCTAAGAGCAATACAGGGTTTCAAATCAAGTTAATAGGAAATCAAAGTGGGTTACTATAATATATCCTGCTATTTTTTATTTATTTTTCCCTTAATTAAAAAGATAAAAATAAAAAAGTAAATAATTTTAAAAAAGGGGGGATTGAGATAAAAGAGGACATAACAACAAAACAGCACAGGTCAAAGCATAACCATTTAAGCAAAATAGTGTTTCACCACAAGATATCCTGACATAAAAGTAGTTACCATAGAGTCTCTGTCCTTGAAATCTTTGAGCAGTACTTCGTATACTGTAGCACCAAACATATAAAGACAATGTAAAACCATTCAAGAGAATGACAGTATTACAGGGTATTTAGAATCAACTAACAGAAAATGAACAATGGTTTCTGTATA